ACGTGTACGAGCGAGTCACGATTGGTTTTGGTTTTACTTCTGATTGGATGACAAAGTGGCGCGAGTTTTTTAAGCCAATCGTGTAGCGTAGTAAATACAATACCAATTACTTAGAGCGGTTTTCAATCGAGTGTGGTAAATCCAAAACCAAACTAGTTACTTACCAATTAGATGACCCAGCCAATTTCAAACCGTAGTAAAAACAAAACCAAAGTGATAGACTACTTTCGATATATTAAAATTCAGCTTGATAGTGAGGCTTAGAGGACACAAGCAAAAGAAATGAATAAACATGGTCATTTAATTTCCTTTGTTTGTGTCTTCTAAGCCTCACTGCCAAGCTGAACTTTGATCTATCGAAAACGATCCATTGTCTGATTACTTTGACACTCATTTGAAATCGCTGCACCACATGAAGTTTGCATGACAATAAAGGAATTGTAGGTCTGCAATACGTCTTTGTGTTTACTATAACAGTAACCAATCGATCGCGGAAGCTCGATCTAGCGCGCAAGTGCCTCTTTCTGGAGTAGCCTATGTTATGTATCTATACAATGTTTTATTTCTCTCTCTTAGATCATCTCAAAGGAGTTATTTCGTAACATGGGCCTGGCACTTTTAACAGTGATGTTAGTTACACCTGTGGTGCTAACGAACTTGAGGACATGCTTTCTGGTCTTTACCTGCGTCGGCCTTACACTGGTGCGTACAATACTTTTGCATCTGTTCCAAACAGTCCATAAATTAATGTTGATTTGGTCATTGCCTTTGTTAAGAAAATTACTCTTGTGTACCTTTCTTCGTGGCAAAAGTTTCGTTTTATGTAACAATAGATCTTTCCCGCATTCCACTTCAGTGCGTACGAACAATAACACCAGAGCGAGGTTGGGGTGGACATTTTCATACATTTGCTGTATTTTTGTTCACCCTGACCTCGACTCGGCGCCATTGTTTGTTGGAATGCGGGCAAGGTCTATTAGATTATGAACTCGAGATTTATATCGCGTGATAGTAAGTTGACGAGGACGCAGCATCACACGCATAGAAGCCCTGGAATCTTTTCCCCCCTCTTCTTAAAAACATAGTGGTCCCCCCAGGGAAAGTAAGAACAGAGGCACCTCGGCTGATGGTGTCATCCGACATGTTTTGAACCTGTTCCGCGCTTAGAGCTTAGCGTAGCCAATAAGAGAACGGCATTCGTGATAGAAAGCTAGTAGATTTATGCTCAAAGGAAATGATGCGTGTATTAGTGCACGTGGAATTTCGTCTTGAACTACCGTCTGTACATTTGTCACGCATAAACAGGTTAACATCATGGGAACAATGTATTTCTGGGATCTGACAATCGATATAGTGACCACCATGTTCCTTGTGTTGGCGGTTGGTCTGTCTGTGGATTACGCGTCTCATGTAGGACACATGTTCATGACGATAGCTGGCTCGCGAATGGGTAAGCCCGTGCCTTAGTTTTGATTTAAATTAGTTCTCCGACGAGGTTGAAAAGCTGAATTACTTTGGGTTTGGAACCTTCCTTACACTTTCTCAGCTTCACCTTCACTTAACTCTTTGTGCCAGAGGGCACGCACCACACTCCAGGACTGCTACCCTGCTCTGGACTTCTCCCGACCTCTCTTTCTCTTTCCCTCGGAGGCTCATGTCAGGGCTGTAATACGGTGAATTCCTTTGAGTAAAATCCCTCAGCTGTATAATAAGTTGTCTTGTAAAAGAAAAGTAATTTCTTTATTAGGGTCCCAAACTTGAATGCAGGTTGACTTTTCTTACATTCTTTTCACTCAGAACGAGCCCGCGTTACTCTTCGTGACATTGGACCAGCGGTATGGAATGGTGGCTTTAGTACGTTCTTGGCTGTAGTACTTCTGATCTTTTCCAAATCTTATGTCTCCATGACTTTCTTTAAGGTGAGTAGTTATTTGGAGAGAACTATAAGTACGGGAGTTCAGATGGTAGCGCGCGAGTGAAATTATCAATTGTCAAAACTGGAATTAAAGATAAAGTAGTTTGCACTTGGCGCAAACCTCTTCACAGAGCCGGAACATATTCAGATTTGTGTAGCATGCTAGCATAAGCAGTTATTGCTTACAGGGCACCCCCCCCCCCCCCCCCCCCCCCCAGGAAAGAGAGCGTCGTACTTTTTAGGGGATAAAGAGCGGGTTTGATGCCTCTAAGGGTGTTCAGCCTCAGATGGTCCACAGCAAGAGCTTTTGCGGTGCCTTGTAGGGTATTGAGCTGGTTACCTTTCAGGGTATTACGAGTAGAAAGTAATTGAAGCAATCATCTGTATCCCTATTAAGAATTACGAAAGTGTCAGATAACGTGTTGTTTTAGAATTGGTACCTCTAAAGGGTAAAAAATTTCAAGCCACGCCCACAAAGCATGATCTTGGTACCTCTCAGGGATTCTTCTCAAAATTTCCGTTGAATACCCCCGTCTTTTTTATAATGGACAGTTCTCCTGTGCACAGCTAGGGTAGCCTATGTGGTTTTACTTTGATAAACAGCACTTAAAATGCTCTACAAAATTCGAAATCAGTTAAGAGTACAAATCTAAAAAAGGAAATAAACCAGATATATTAAAGCAATATTAATCGGTACTTGCTTCTTAAGGTTTTACTTCATCGTAGGTGGATTTAGCTTCTCTTCTTTCAAAGACGTTTTCACATCCCAAGTTGAGACTCCTTTCCACATCCCGCCAGATGTTTTACCAGATTTGAAGTACACAGTGTAGGGCACGTCCATCATGGCTTCGTTAGCTACAACCTCACATATCACCTTCGTAAAGGGCGCGGCTACCACCGGGTGCTTTCCAGAAACTGTCTTCTGAAACGTTTCTGTCTTTCCCCAGGTAAGGGACACAGACCCAGTTGTCGTGGTAGAAATCTCCCCCTTGAATACAGTCGGCAACTCGCAGCTGAATTTCGCCGATCTGGAAATTGATATTCCCCACTGATGCGTGAAAGTGCTTGTGTTACTTACTGTCTCGCTGTAAGAGAACTCTACTGACTGTGGCTGGCTGCTCTCGTTGGAAATTTCCTGAACAGCAAGAACCTTTGGATTCGTAGCCCCCAGTTTTCCTCTATCACAGTGGAACTCCACACGGTCAATTTTGTCGGCCATGACAAGCACTTGGAAATCATGGATCCGATGTTCACGTGAGCCATAAGGGATGCATGCACCTTTCAAGTAAAAGTCATCCCACGTTCCCTGCACGCCAGCTTTACCCGGAATAAGCTTGCCTCTTACCTCACCTCTTGCGTGATAGGAAGGCCCTCCATCTAAACCTCCTTGAACAGCATTTTCTGGCGGCCGATCTCCAGTCTTGCACCTGTTAGGGAGAAAAGTGCTTTTGATATTCAATTTAACAAATTGACGTTAGTTTTTCATGCGTCTGTCCTGTTACTGGTCATGAATTTCGTCATAACATTGTCAAAGAAGCTGTGTATCCACGAGGCGATAGCTAACTGAGTGGATCCACAGGCTACTTTCACAATGGTATTGTGAAATTCATTGTCAATAACTGGATTGACGCATGAAAACAAACGCTAATTTGTTTTTTTACAATATAACAACATCGCATAAATTATAAATTCACGTGTCTGTTCGCTTATTGACAACGAAAATTAGCCAATCAGCAAGCGAGAATTTCTGCAATTATTGCAAAAAGTGATGTTTATCGGAACAAACTAACCTTCTTTTGTGTTATCACTCATATACATACATGTATGTTGTTTGATTCAAGTCAATTTGGATTGCCGATTTTGATGTCTTGCAACAACAACAACAACATCTTTATATTCTAAGTTCTCCTCATTTTCTCTTCCCCCAACCTGCTGGTCCTAGGCTCGTTCTGAATACAGCCGCAATGTCAAATTATTCAGCAAAACAGTCACCAGGGCTCGTATTCTTTTTCAGAAACAAATTTCCAGGACTTTTCCAGGACTCAGATTGATTTTTCCAGGACTCTAAAATTCACATTAATCCTTTCACTCCAAAGATCTCAATGTTAATTCTCCTTACTGTCTACCATTTATTTCATATTTTTTACTTGATTTTAACAGGTTTCTAGAAGTCTTGGAAAATGCTAGCCTGTTGCAGGCTCTCGGTCAGTGGGGACGATCGAAAAAGCGCGCACGGGACAAGCCCCGCTCGTCCAGCGGCTGCTTTTTTGATCGTCCCCACTGACCGAGAGCCTGGAACAGGCTAGAAAAATGCCAAAACAAAATACCAGGATTTTCCAGGTTTTCCAGGACCCGTACAAACCCTGACTTATGCATTCAAGAAACGTGTTCTAACGCACCTCTCATACGTCAGTGCTGAGGGGTCATCCACGGTAAGTACTTCAGAGCTGTGGACCCGATGTTCTGCTGACCCATATGGAATGCAGGCTCCAACCAGACGATGATCATTTTCAGACCTGACGCCCACTTTACCTGGGATGGTCAGGTCATTTACCACTCCCCTTGCATGATAAGAAGGACCATCATCGAATCCTGCTTCAACGGCATTGCTTGGTGGTTTATCTCCCGTCTTGCATTTCACATACGACAGCATACTGGATCTGCAGTAAGCAAGAAAAAAATAACCCTTAGAGTAGCTTACGGTATGGCTATCAAAATGTATCTTTCAAAAGTGTTTCACTTGNCCCCCCGCCTCCCTCCTCAACACAGCCCAACAGCTTGTTAAGAAACTAACAACTTGAACCCTATGCAAATTTGCATTGTTAATTGTTACCCTGGGGATTATGCAAATGACAGTATAAAAGAATTTTCTTGTGTTCCACCCCATCACTCTACTCCAGGCTGAGAAAGCGAAGAGGTTGGCGGCCCACCCTCCCACCCAACGACTACGTTGGGTTTGATTTAGCTGTCCGCTGCTATTTAGCCACATGAATCTCCAAAATTATTTACTCAATGGTGATCAAATAACATGGTGAGTTAAGTATCCGAACCTGTTTACTTTTGTGGTACCCAGTTGCAAATCATGACGTTACACATTACAAGATGTCTGCCATGTCGAGCATTTAAGAACACGAGGGAAATGTAGAAAACACGAGCCGAATAAAACATGCTTTTTTAAAGTCCCTCTTTCGCTTTCCCGAGAAAAAAATGGCCGCGTGAAATACTGGGGGCGAGAAATCCATTTCTCGCGGTTTTCTTTCGCGTCACGCACGACGGACTAATATTTAAAAGCGAAAGAGGGACTACTCGTAGTCTAGTAACTTTGGTCGGGCTGAAGAATATCGAGGTTCTACTCCCGGGGTTCTAACGTACGATAAACATTGTACAGTACTATTCAACTCATTAGTTTCAAAATTTGACCACGCAAGTCTGCGTTTGGCGTGATTCGCAGCCAGCTGAAATGAATCTGAAATTTCCATAGAGAACGTCGTATTGCGCTCCTTGACAAGTTTATTGTGTATATTTAATTTTTGTTGTCAACTGAAAAAGCTTGTAACATTAAATTAAACACAGACCAGGACTTGAAACTCATTTCTCTCGGAAAAAGAGCAGAACATACATTCGTTTGTCGTGCTCAGTTTTAAGTAAACGGCGGATTGGTTCTCCTTATTTGGAGCTCAGTGTGAGGTTTGTCTCATTTTCCCGGGGGGGGGGTACTTTGGGAATTTCTTGGTGGGGATGTGCCGCTGGGACCCTGGAACCCTTAGCCTATACCATCTTAAACTCGCCGATTTGATTTTTTTTTTATATTTTTGAGTGGCAATTCCCGGTTTCCTTAGTCTAGATAAAATCTTCAACCAAATAGTCAGTTTTGGGGAAAATGATACCCTACTCTAGACCCAAACGCTCGGATTTATATACCCTATCCTAGAGTAAACTGCTTGAAAACCGTACCCTCCACAGCGGCACATACCTATATAGCCCATATATGGCAGTGCGCCCCCCGGGCTCACTTTTTGCCTCTAATGACTTTGCTTTTCCGTTCAGGCAGAACAGCATTGAGTATGATCCCGAAATTTCGATGAATCGTACAAAACGTTATAGTGAATGATCATTAAACGTGACGCACTTAAAATAGACTTTTCTCCACACGGTAACATTAAAAACTATTCATTGAGTAACACCTAGCCCGTAAGAACGAAAGCACTGAATTTACTTGCTTTAGTGGTGGCGAAGAAGGTACCTACAAAATCATAGTTCTCCGATGTCTATTTTCTTTCGTGCTGTTGTCACGAAGTCACGTCTTTCTGTAATTCTTTCGATTCAAGTGATTCAGTTTCCGCTAATCTCCTCGGCGAGTCTCGGATGTTACTATGCTACCAAATCTTATTCTCTTGCACTTGTATATTGTGTCAGGTTAACAAATAACTAAAACTCAATCAAATCAATAATTACCATAAATTGCAATAAATTCTTCACCCTTACTGTTGGCTGACTTGCACCAAAAGTTAGTGGTATCACAAAGGCCCGAAGCAGATTCTGTAATCGTTACACAATGTCTGACAACTAACAGCTACACTTTGTCACTGCGAATCGCTTTTATAACACTCAAAAAGGTGCTCTGCCTTTAGAGTGTTCCCTGTTTTCTGCGAAAAATTAGTATGACGGACTTAAGTACATGAATATGTATGAATATATAACATGTAGTTTTTCCTTGTTTACATAGCGCAGACACGAGCGAGGTTGGGAGAATTCAGGACAGTTGTGCCAGCCCGAGACGCAGTCGTAGGTTTGCATAACTTTCGAAAATTCTCCCGACCTCTTGAGTGTTTAGATAGGCTATGTAAACATGGAAAAAGTCCTCTATTGCTTTTAGAAAATATTTCTCAAAAGCACACCGAATCTAAACCGTCGCAACCTCGTTTGCATAAACAACTATCGACCAATGAGAGCGCTCGTAGTACCTCATTATTACACCTTTTGCTGTTCATTTACAGAAAATAAACATTCATTTGTGTCCAAATTTCTTTCTTTATGGTCAATAAACTCTCANTTAACACCAATATGACCTTCATTTGCGCGTAAGGAACGTTCAAGAATAACATTTACATATGCATTAACATTCAA